TCATCCCGAGTGAGGCAGCCTTTCTCGTCAAGCAGGGCTGCGAGGCGGGGGCCGGTGGAGCTTTGGCATGGGGCGCCATCCGCGGCTCCGGCCTCCCTAACCGATGGATCTTCGGGGCCGTGGACTCGACCGCGGCTTGGCGAGCGGCGGACGAGGGGGAGGGAACGTTCGCGTTCACTCTACGCTGTGGGGACGGAAACGAGGCGGAGTGCTGGCAGCTGTCCAGTGGCGTCTTTGCCGCCTGCGATTTGACTATCGAGTGGATTGGAAGGAAGTTTCTGGTGAACGACCAGTGCGCGACGATGGCAAAGCTGCGTGGAGTCTTTTGAAGTGCTGGCGGCTTACTGAACGAAGTTTCAGGAGCTGTGAAAGGCGGCGAAGGGAGTCGCCTCGTTGACCGGTGATGAATTACCGCTGCTAGGCAGAGCATTAAGCAGCTGAGAGAAATTCAGTGCTGGGGTTGCGCCTCACTTCGGTAGCGCTCGGCAATACCCCTGGAGTCCTGTTGGGTTTGAATTTGCGTATTGTGGTAACTTCCATCGTCCTGTAAGCTCCTAGGAGCTGAGTGGTTGAAGGTGAAAGAGCGGAACGCTCAGAACTCCTGGGCGATTGACAGGGCTGTGATAGTGGCTGTGTCCTTAGTGACTATCATTGAGCGCATATGGCTGATCGTTGAGTCATATTGCTGTTCCTAAGTGTAGACACCCTCCTGGCGGTGCTTGTCAACTATTTGTAGCATCATGGCACTCGAACAGCGCGCGCGCGCACGCGCGCACACACATGCACGCACAAAGTCCAGAAATCCATCAATTCCTGTTGTCAAGAAGCGTATATGTATGCAGGCTTGGTATTTACGTCGTAAACACAAATTCAATCTGCGCTTTTATGCCCAAAAATGCGGAAAGCACCTAAATACAACGTAAATACTGCATTGTGTACGTAAGGACAGTACATACGGACTTGGGCCGTTCGGGGAGTGTCAGTCAGACGCGGTGGAATGGGTAGAAAACGAATTTGTGTTCCATGCAGTCGTTGCCCTTGCCGACAGCGAGGTGGACGGTCTGTTGCGGGTGCTGGAGATGGCGCAGGACTGATCGTAGTTCGTGACTTCCTCGTGTAATTTGGGTGTCACAACGGGCCACGACAGCGTAAAAATAGCCGTATGAATAGCCCCTTTTTCAAATTTGTTTTCTTTGTGCTCAAAAATGCAAAACAAAAACAATAAACGTAAAAACATTAAGGCAGACGGTAATACCAAGCCTGCATGTGTACTTCACATGTATCTTAGAAAGACGTACATGCTGCTGGTTTGGGCAGACATCAAGTTCACGCACAGTTTGATGATTTTTCAAAAGTCGTCAAACTGTTGCCAGTTGGATTGGAGAGACGTGTTTGGGTGAGTGCCGTGCTCGGGAGCCCCTTGTGTCAATGGGCGTTTGGGCTCCGGTGACCCCAGGAATATATAAGGCATTCGCCGCTGCACATCATGGAAGCGGGGCTTAAATCTGTAGCGAAGGGTGTTTCTCGCATGATAGCCACCAAACCCACGACAGGACAGATCCTCAGTATGCGTCGGTCCCCTATACAGGCGGGCGGAGCAGGTCCGACCGAAATCTATCAGCCAAGTGCCAGCCGATAATCCTCACGTAAAGTACACCAGCTGTATACTTCCCTTATCGAAACTGGCCAATTCGCCGTCGCCAGGCTCGTTAGGTACGTTTTCGCTTGTTTACGTTTGCGCGTCCGTGTTTTTTCACGTATAGTCGTAAACACATGGAGGCGGCTATTTTTGCGGCTATGTTTACGTATTTTTATGGCGTGCTGGCACGCTCAGGTTACTTAATGAAGTCGCATGCAATGACCAGTCGTCCGTCTCCACGAACACACGCAGCAGAGCGCGCACCTCGCCGTCGGAAAGGGCAATGACATCGTCGAGCAAAATTTGTTTTCTTCCCACTCCAGCACGTCTGGCTGCCACGGCCTGGACACCACGAGTCTGTACACACTATCTTTATCCACATGGGGGTGTACTGACGCAGTTTTACACATATTTATGTGCGAAAATTTAGATACTTATCCGCACGTGAAAGCAAAAAATAGAATCTATGTTTACGTCGTAAATACCACGCCTGGCCGATGCTAGCAATCCCGCCAATCCTGCCCTCAGCGGCGGTCATCACTGCGATCATTATGACAGGCATTCTTTGGGTTGATGGCCGCCAGTTTTATTGGCCAAGGTGCAACGTTGTGGCCACTGGTCCACAATTAGGTTCGAAGTTCGGCCCCAGCGATCGATGAATTCAGGGCAAGCGTTCAGGCCTGGCGACGTCTTGATTCCAGATGGGCAGCCCAGGCGGGTTGCAAGGCCGGCAGGCAGCGCATCCCTTTAAGGGAGTCCACGGCTGTCAGTATTCCTGTTTGCTCCTTCCTGTCAACAACCAACAGCATGCCCTGAGGTTAAAGCACATGTGTCGTGTTGCCATTTCAGCGGCGCCAGATCTTGACGACTTGCATCATGGCGCATGGATTCCCGCGCCCCATTCCCTATCAAAACTCTGCTGCGAATACTGGACGTTGGCCTGACAACGGCGCATGCAGTCCATCTTCGGCACTCCAATCTTCGCTCCTTCAACCTTTCCTGAAATAGCCGCATCAGTCTCATGGGGGACTTGAGCGTTGACAACAGAGGTGGGCTAGCGTTCCGGAAGCAAAAGACCATACAATGCCAACTAGCGTTGCAAGAATGGGAACAATCCCGCGGGCTTGTCCATTTTATTGCAATACCAGTCGGCTCGGCCGCAGGCGCGGCCATTGTATCGAATAGGCCGATTCGACCTTCCAGACCTCCTGCGTCTCTTGGCCAACTCGTGATGTTCCCGCGCTTGAGGGCCCTGCGCGCACAAGATCATGCACGCATCAGAAGCATGCTCTGTTGGACGGCATTCCGAGATTGCGCTTGGCAGACCTGGACCGCTGGCCTCGTCATCTTTGTGGAGTCCGCCTTTGTGTAGACACAATCTCCGGTGAGTGAGGTCCCTCATGAGGGACGCTGATCAGTGAACCGCATGTACGTATACATGTGTAAGAGAGGTACGCCGCATTGTTGGATTCGGCATTGTTCGATTTCGATTACCGCGACCTTCACAGCGGGGACGCAAGTGTTTGCTATACATCGGAGATCGTCGAAAAGCAGTTGGAGGTGTGGGTCGATGTGGATGCATAATGTGAACTGCATACTGGCGTGCACGGCATCCCACAGAGGGGAATTTGCACTTGTTAGGTTGTTGGACGATCACATCCCACGACGCTGCACGGGCAACTAGGGCATATCTTCAGCCCAGGCAGGTCTTTGAGTTCCAGAGGTTTGTGGGTGCGCCCAAGGTATGTCGGGGATTATTGGACTGTGCATAATGATGGACAGCGATTGGGATTGGAATGCAGTGTCTGTCATGTGCGGAAGTGTGAATGGGTCAAGGAGACAGGTCAGGCAGACAAGCTTAGCATCATGCTGATAATATGATATGTTAATATGATATTGAATGTGATCAAAGATTGTTCAATGGGTGTCTGATTAGGAAGACGTGGGTGGGCGCATGGGATGCCCCCAAGTGCGTTTCTGGCTGTATGTTGCTTGCCCGTTCGGACCGCCTCGTCCGCAGGCTGCTTTGAGAGCGTGCAAAGGAATCAGTGGACGCTTGGCACAAGTTTTGAGAGATAGACAAATCTTGCCTACCTAGAGGGTGACCAAGGACCGAGAGGTATCTTGCTATGCGCTCAAGATGCCCGACTTGCAAGTCGGGTCGAGGACAACGGGAAGCATGGAGTACTGCGGATTCAGCACTTGTTTACGCTGCGAAGGTAATGCCAGCTTCAGTCCTGACGGTCACTGGCCCTGCGAGATGGACCATAAGCCGCTATGCTTCAGCCCATCAACACCATGAGAAAATGCAACGATTAGACCCCAACACTTTTCGACGTTCGTTGCATGTTTCGTTGTCTGTGCACGTCATGAACCGTTTGCTGTTTTTGCACCGCCGTCATTCGATTACTCGAGCCCGTGTGTTTGGCTGAATTTGAAAATCATGTAATCGAGAGAAGAGCGCACTCAGTTGCCATGGCGTACAGCAGGGGGCACAGCTCTCTCTGAGCGATGCCGTCGCTGCGACGTTTGTACGCCCGCCGTCATCACGACATTGCATTCAGATGTCTTCTCAGGAGATGGTGTCATTGTGCGTCACGACGCCTCGAAAGCATAAACGTCAGGCACACATGCTACCCTTTTCGAGCTTCGCGTGCTTCAGGTGCACAGCGCTGACCCCACACGGGGGACGGATTTCGGAGATGCGGAGCGATTTAGAGCTCCACAAGCACAAAGCAGAGGTGCCACACTTCCAGGCGCTCATACTCCATGTCATCTCATCAACAACAGCAGCGTACGTACTTCACAAACTCTCAGCGCCTATGAGGAATATGTGCAGCGACGCAAAGTTCCAAAAACAGCCCTGGCGAGCACACAAGCCACGTTCGCCATGATCTGATGGACAGGCATCGGCATTCATTCCCTCCACAAGGTATCAACACGCAAGGTGCCACCAGCAAACTCCTATAATCTAAGCTGGGTCCCCCCAAATTGGCATCTACTGTCGCTCCCCCTCAAATCAATGTTCACTAGAACTCACTTCCCTGATACTCTCGCCACCTACAGGGAAGAGGCTCGGACATCCTCGTTCATTGCCACTGCCCAAATACATGCCCACCAACGCCCCTACATCGCCATCAGCCCGCAAGATCCTCTGCAGCATTTGGGTATCGAAAACATGAGCCGGGGGCCACTTGCCCACCCTCAGCCGCCCGCAGTGGCAAAAAATTGCCCATCCGGTGCTTAAAGCCATGCCAAACATCCACAGACACTGAAATAAAAAGAATTGCACAGTGCCCCACAAACAGAGCAGGAGCAAAGCGTGTAACAGGAACTGTGCGTTTGCTGTCATCTTCATGCATTAGGCCACTGCAGACACCCCATTGCTGGCTGCACCCACTGCCCCTCCGCTCTTCTCAAACGATTGACGCGCCTCCCTCGCCTGCTGGGCAGAGGAGATGGGTCCGATGAGGCTCGTCAGCGCCCCGTCGCCCAGACCATATATCATGCCATACACACACAGCTCCTGACCTGCTGCCCAGGCTGCCTGGATGGGAGCGCTGTCACACATGTGCAATGCCTGGGTGATGGCATTCAGCTCGCACAGCCTGTGGCACGCACATGCACAGATCGCATCTGCTTTTATATTACATTCTCAGGTGGTTCAGGGCCACAGACCTTGCCCAAATCAGGCGCTGGGAATGCTGGCGGTGAACAGAGTTAGAGAACTACAGCACATAGGGAAAAGACGCAAAACATCCTTTCGATCAAGGAGGCAGGTGGCCAAAGTGTTCAGTTTCATGAATGGTGTTATAGCACATTCTAGTGCTGGTATGGCATGCAATCAGACTGACAATCGTAACACACACGTGGCATGCCGATCTGCGAATGTATTTCAAGCTGTGAGCTTCTGTACAGTTGAACCACATTGTACGATGCAGCAGCTTGCACACTGCATCTCGCCTGTGAAAAGTTGCAAGCAAAATGCAGTGTTATCGCGCCACAATTCAGCTCCCATGAATATTGAAACACTGTACTTCAGCACTAGATACGTTGGCAGGATTTGCAACAGAAGACCAAGGGGAACAGGAAAGGCAAGTACACACATTGACACAATAATGAAAAGAATAAGCAGAGCCAATGCGTATTCTGGCGATGATAGTCAACACTCCAGCATACAAGGGGCTGCTTTAGAGTGGCCAGCACAACCGGCACCCTGCAAATGCTGTAAGCACCTGACATGTCATTGCCACTCTAGGGAATTCTGGTACAACCAAAAATACTACACAATAAAGTATCATGACTTGCACCATTTTGCCCCCTACCCTGCCCACCACCCCCCAGAAAAAGGGTAAAATAACTGCTGCAGTTGAACTGCGACTCCTGCCCCAATATATGACTTCCTCAGCAGGCACACCGACCCACCTTGGCAAACGCTCTTCTTCTGGGAGCTGCTCCAGGCTACTTGCCCACATGTGCTTGACATCCCTGATCCGAGATATCCACGAGTTCAACATCCCAGGTGTCTCCATCGGCATCCTCAGGGCAGCGTCGCAGGCCCCACAGCCATAGTGCCCACAGACGATGACATGCTTGACTTTCAAGCTGCCCACAGCATACTCGACAACAGACATGCAGTTGAGGTCACCATGGGCGACGATGTTGCCAACATTGCGATGCGTGAAGATTTCGCCAGGCTGGAGACCAGTGATGGTGTTCGTCTGTAGAGCAACCACAATTAGCAACCACAGATAGCACCAGAAAGTGGCCTGTAACCTGTCGGACATGATTCAAAAGGTTTGGAAGCAACAATACAATTCATGAACAGACTGCTGAATACAGGTATGAAATGTGCCCACACACTGTATTGGCCCGATTTGCTCTGCCAACATCCTCGGCCAACTTCCGCCATCAAAAAAAAAGTGATGCTGTTGCAGGCGATAACACATGCACACTGTTGAAATGTTTACTCCAGAATGTCCACTCTGCAGATGAATTTGGTGCATGGCACAGCACAACAGCAACGCAGTCATGGGATGACCTGACCGGCACTGTTTACGTCATAGCTGCAACACTTGCACTTGCACACCAGAGGCGATCCTGTCATCTATTCAGTCAACGATCATCGCATGAAAGTATTGAGAGCAGTATGCCCACTTCTACCTGGACAATGCATGTGAAAACTGCCAAAAAACTGGCCCTGTGCCTTCCAGATAATGCCTGTCACTTCATGCAACATTGGAAATGTCCCAGATGGTACATACTTGGCAGCTAATACAATCGCAACCTGGAATCAAAACCAAGCCCATTTGTGAAACATTGATTTTCCTTCCCAAGCTTGAGTCGAAAGCATGCAAATCGTTGCATGCTGCAAACGTGCTGTACGCATCACACAGCCTTGTGGATCATATGAAGCGTATGGCAACATGAGCATGAGTATACACTTTCAAACACACATTCAAACGAAGGCGCAGTGTGACATATTCAAATGATGCTTGGCGTTGTGATGCCACAAGGCACCAATGCTGGTGACCCTGCATCATGCCTCTTGAACATGTGACCATGGACTGGAGATATTTGAGAGTGTTGTTGTCTGGTGGTGAACCCTTAGTACCAACAGAAACAGTGCCATGCAAAAGACACCCCCTCCCTGCTGGTATGCGGTGGGCCCAATGTGTACCAGATGCCTGACAACAGACCCACACCAGCGTCCTAGCATTGCTACATTCGTTTGCCTCATTTGCTTTCAGAAGACTAAGTGGGGGCCTTGCAACTGACAGCCGATGCCAGGTATGTACACTTCCAAGTGTTTCTGTGTCAGCATTGCTTCTTGAGCACACAGCCTCCATTCGAAGCTGTGCAGTTGTGAAATTTGAAGTTCTGATGTTCTGCAATCTTGTAAGCTCTGAAGCTCTGTTACTCTTCGACAGTGTTCTTACCACCACCCTTGAGTCTGAGCAGCCTATCCACAGATACTCTGGACTTTGGCCCTCTGCGCATTTGGGAAAAAATTTGGGGTCCTTGCTGGCCATGTGTTTGGCCCACTGCCTATTGCAGGCAGAAATGACTGTCACCACAGGAAGCAAACAAACACAGGCTAGCCTGTTGTCCTGCTGGCCAACAATTGGCTGCTTTGCACAATCCATTTCAAGTTCATGCTATCTTCGGTGGCTTAATTCCGTTTTTGAATCACATCAATTGCCAACAACCGTATCTGCAGTGTTAACAACATAAGAGTATGATCAATTCGTGCCACCATAAACTTAATTCTCATATGAACAATTGTTCTGAGTAACTGTATCACTGAGAAAACACGTCAGCAATCTCGATCGAGAATTCTGGTGTGCTTTCTTGCCAGTTTCCTGCATACAGAAATGGATATCCGCTCCATTCCAGTTGTTTAGAGCAGGACCTGCCTAATGAACTGCACATCTGCTGGACCTGCACTTCTGCTGGAACTGCACTGGTAAAAAAAAAGAAAAATCTAAGAAACGAGTAGCAACACATAAATACGTAAACCATGAGGTAAAGGCCAACCAGAGCCGTGGTCTTTTTGCCAAATGGAACAGGCTCATTGGCAACCAGTGTGGCTCAAAACCCAAGAACAATTACAAAGGAGCCTACAGTTGCTGCAACGAGTTTTCAGCAATTATGCGAAGTCGACTGCACGGAACTTGCAATTTTACACAGAACACATGCAGGACACAAGCACAGGAATCCAGAAACAACATTTGCAGGGCTAAAAGTGTGAAGTGAGTCAGTCACTGTTTGACAATAGACTTTGGAGCACAATTGGAACTCACCGATTGTTGAATAGCAATCTCTCAATCGCTTTGCTTGGATGGGTCCCGTTCTCGTCCGGAATACCGTTGCCTGCACAATTGCATGTTGCAATTTCAGCAACTTGAAGTCCTCCACAACGGCAAAGGCAATAAACAGCAACTCTTTGAGCTCGCAATCGCTTGTCAGGTGGCAAAATACTTGTGCCTTCTACATTACTGTCAATTGGTGGCAGGGGTCATGTGTGGGGAAACATCTGAGCTCCGACATACAATGTAACGGACGAAACAGAGCAGAAGCAATATTGATGAATTGGACACACTACAATGATCAAGCTTCACTTCAGGTCCCAAATTTGGGGACATGAGTAGTAGAAAAACTAGCACTGTGTTCATTGAGAGGCTGCCAAACTCAATGATGAAAATGGATTCTGGAATGCGGATTATGGGGCTGTGCGCATACTGATTCTCCAGTGTATTAGCAAGCTCAAAATCTAGACAGGAGATTTTGAGGCGTTTCCTTTGCGCACACAAATTGTATGCAAGTGTGCCTGACTGTATCATTGTCAGGTTGCAAGTCATTATGAACCTGTACAACAATCCATTGATGTTGTATTCCTTTATTGTTATCTGGTCTCTTCAGCATGTGGTATATCCTTAGCCCCAAAACCAGCTGCCAAAGAGGCTACAGTGCCAAAATGCTGCCACCTGTCCAGAGCCAGCAGCAACTTTACAACACAGAGACACAGCCAGCATATAGATTGGGGCCCATCCCACTACACACATGTTGACATTCTCTATAGCCTCCACTGTCTACCAATGAAATAGACAAAACCACAATAAACATTTAAATGTGGTGCATCCAACGCCTGACACACAAGGAATTGTTCTGCCCCTGATTAGTAAAATCCACCAAAATAGTTGGCATATTGATTTCCTCCACAAACCATTTACTGCTTTTAATGCTTTGGGGACAACTGTCTGTTCTCAATAGCTCCCTGCACACCGCCTCGAATCCTCCCCGCGCCTGGAGACAACCAACTGGGGCGCTCACTGTGATTGTAAAGTGGAGCGCGGACAACTGCTACTTTTTGAATAGGCCAACTGCTCTTCTATGACGTGAAATAGGCTGCCGACAGCATCGTGCTTCGCTTGATATGCACTTTCCAGGCGTTTGTATTTTTTTCTGAACATCGCCGGCGCGGGAGCCAGCATTGCGGGAGCTCTGGAGCCCGCCTGTGCCGCACAAGCCATCCTCAGCCGCCGATCCCCTGCTCCCTTCCTTGAAAAGACACTCGTGCGCGAGCGCGCCAGCGTTCCCGCATACTCTGCACGGCCGCTGGCCACCGATGCTCCCCACCAGGCCCCGGAAAGCGCCCGTCGCCGGCCAAGCGGCACTGCGCCCCCGGTGACTAATTTTTGACAGGTCCGGGACCGGGGCCCTGCAATCCTCCGAGGGCGTCGAGAGGCCCTGCGCGGTCGAAAGTGCAGCGCAGGGTTCGCGGCGCCGATCTTCCGGGCAGCGGCTCACCACAGGGGCGACAGCCAGGTCGCACCACGGCGCCGGGGACGGCACACCGGCCTGAGCCAACTCCCCGGGGCTACTCTCACCACCGGGAGCGTGCGGATATTTGCTTCCGCGTGTGCCGCCCGCCAACAGTGCAAAGAACGGTTGATTGACGAACGCGCCGCCACCGAGAGCGCCCGGATCACCTTTGGCCGCGTGCCGCTGCCGCCGGCCTCTTGATGCGGCGGGTCCGAGGGCGCCGGCTGCTGCGGTGGGGACGCGATCAGGAGCCCTCCCGGCGGCGCCCTGCGGCCGCGCGGGCCCGGCTGGCAGCTCCGCGCAGTGCATGTCGCGAGAGGGGGGGGGACCGAGTCGGTGGCGGGTGGGTGGCCACAAACGGGCGAGGCAAGGAAGCCGGCAGTGGCCACCCAGACCCAGACCAGATGGATGGCAAGCGCCCAACGAGGGGAACAAGTGCCCAACAGGGGAACAAGCGCCCATTGGTCAGGGGTCAGGGGCCCTAACCTACAGGCCCCTATGAGGTGGCTATTAGGTTAGGTTAAGCCTAAGGGATGTTCCATGAAGCCGTGGGGCAGAGTGGCGGTGGGTGGAAGGATGGGCATCGAGTGGCGGATGACGGGCGCCCAGGAGTTTCGATGGAGGGTATGGCGCTGTGTGCCTTTTGGCCCAAAAGGCCCAAAAGTTTTGGGAGAGGGCGCCTGCGGCATCCGGCACAAGCCGAAGCTCTTCAGCCACAAAACCACCTTGTGAAGGCTTTTGCTCATTGCAGCCGATTCACACGTCGATTTAGACTTAAAACTATCCGACTTCCGTCTATGTGCTAACGAGCGTGCAGTCTGTCTGAACGATTACATCAAGAGTCCTTTGAGGGATGAACTGTCCGCAAAAACTGAACTGGCTGGGGCCGCCACGCCTTAAGGTAGTGGTGCTTGCTGGACATTGGACAGGCGAAGCCAGTTGTTCATGAGCCTGCGGGTTCAAAGTTCGGAGCGTGGTCCACATGCCTGCACTTCAGACCTTGTGTCAGAGGTGTCAGGGTTGTGTGAGCGCTCCGCACAGTTCCAAAGCGTTTGCAAAGGTGGCCCTGTCAACATGGTGAGGACTGCGAAATTTGGTCCCGATCCAAATCTGGCTGGGCAAGAAAACAACCATCCTTCGCTTGGTGCACTGGTACACGACCGACAGCGATGCAATGCAGCCCCACACGAAGTGAAACTTGTGGAATGGGCAAATGTGTGGCAGCAAGGGGTGCTGCAACAATCCAAAACTCAGGGTCACATTATCAAGATTGAATGGAATAATTGACGGAAATGGCATAGTTTTCTGATGCAAGCCCGGTATCCCTGACGGCGTCCAGTGAGCATATTGCTGTCCTTTGGACCTTCCCTGACGTCCATTTTCGTCCACTCATTGGTGTGCTTTTCCGACATCGAGACTGTGCAACCTGGCTTCCGAAGGACAGGAAGCGGATAGCACATCGCCGCATGGAAAGCAACTCGAGTCTCCACTGGGCAGCTACCCTGGGACATCACCCCCACACGCAGCCTTCAGATCCTTGCAAGACTTGGAGAGCAGCCAGCCAAAGTGTGAAATTTAATTTTATCAAACACCGCACCGTCAAAAGCCAAAACTTCACTCACATGGTACAAATCCCGGTCCTGCCCAAAAAGCCCACCTGGCAGGGAGCTACAGGACGCCAGTCTGCACATCAGCGGAATGGATGCCCCAACTATGCAACGCTACCCAAACACCCCCTCCTCGTTGAACCCCAAAGGACCAACAGTCACGTCTCCAGCTGAGGCCAATTGCCAGCCTACATACATCGAACTCCAGATGTGCCTATCCGCATATCCATACATCGGGATGGTGATTGTACATGGGCAACTCTATTTCCAGTCCCAACAAATGCAGTCCTCTCTCAGCCATCCCATCTGACAACACCATCGGCGCCGTGCTCCCGTTTTTAACAGTGCCTCGCAGGTGGAAAGGCAGTGCTCCATCAAGCGCAGACAAGCCACATTTATCAGCAGTTCCTCCCATTCCCCCTCCCACATTAAATATGAGGGCCCCAAGCCTGCTGTGCCCACCTGCCTAATATGGTCACATCCCAATCCCTGCAGCCGGGTGCGCAACAGTGGCAGACGGCCGGGCTCCCCTCAGCCCAGGCTGCGCGCCCAACGAAAGCAAAGCCCACCCACGCCACCACCACCTCCCCGCCATCAGCAGTCCACCCTTGCCTGGTCCAGCGGCCTTCCGGCCGCCAGCCCGCCGCCTCCCTCCCTCGCGGGCGAGAACAGGCCCCTCAGGCCGTCGCCCACCAGCCTGGAGCCGATCTCTTCGCTCAGCAGCTCCTCGAGCGCGTCCAGCGGCGCGCTCAGGCTGTAGGACGCCTCCCGGAGCCCCAGCCCTCCGTCCCTCCCATCTCCCGCCTGCCCGCCTTGGGGCGCCCCGCCCCCCTGCACGTGCGGCCTGGGCGCCGGGCAGCTCACCTCCAGCGGAACCCCGATGCGCCGCACCTTGGACGGCGGCGTCCTAGCCAGAAACTCGGACCCATCCCCGGGTGGGCCAGGCTTGGGCGCGTGCCTCGGCGTGAACCCGGGCCCCCTGGCCCGCTTCCCCTCCCTGCCCGCCAGCCACACCACCTCCCGCTCCCCACAGCTGTTAATGTACCTGATCTTTGTGTGCCCAGGTCCCAGCCGGAATCCGTCCTTTGCGTTGGCCTGCGCGCTGACGACCCTGCAGACGTCGCGCCCAGGCAGGGGCCCCGCCTCCGGCCGGGCCCCCGGGCCCTCCCCTCCCGCCACCCCCTTCAGAATCGACGCGTCGCGTAGCCCCTGCAGTACGAAGCACGAGCTGCCCGTCCCCCCGCCGGGCCCCCGGGACCCGCCGCTCCGGCCAGCCTCCTTCGACGGGGAAAGATGACCGTGCGTGCCGCGGGGTGGGGTCCTGTCCGGTTGGCGGCCGCCGGGGGAGGGCCCGAGGGAATCCGGGCCGTCGTCTTGGGCGCAGGGGGAGGCGGCTGGCGCGGCGGGGGCGTCGCCGTCGGATGGCTCGCCGGAGGACGACGGGGTTGTATCCCGGTGGGAGAGGCTCGACGCCCCGCGGTCGGGCGCCGGCCCGCCTAGGGCGGGGTTCTCCTCGTCGCCGGCGCGCGCCTCGGGCTCTGCGAGCCGCTCCCTGACCTTCATCCCCTCGAAGAACGCCCTGCGGGGCAGCAACCGTTTCAAAGTTCCGCGACGAAGGTCGTGGCGTGCACACGGCGATCCAGGATCGCCCCGGCCGGCGTCATCTCCGCGGTCTGGCACCGGCGAGCGAGCACGCGGATTGGGCGACTGTTTTTCCATCTTTTGGTTGTTGAGACGGACCTTCGGCCGTGTTGGCACTGACCTGCTGGCACCGTCATGCTGCAGCCACAGCGCGGTGGCGATGGGCACGGTGGAGGGGAAGGCGGTCGCCAGGTCGGTGGCCACGTCGAAGGAGTGCATGGGCACGCGGGATCGCAGCGCCTGGAACTCTCTCGACAGCCTCCAGGCCACCTCAGACGGCGACAGCCGCGGCCCGCCTCCAGCGGGCGGCGTTGCGCCCACGCTCCGGGCGTTGATCGCCTGCGTGGGCACGTCGATGGGCATCTGCATCGCGGCGCACTCGCGCGCGGGGCCGGGCGGGGAGCCGGCTTCCATGGCCTGGTGGAAGAACTTGTGGCGGTGGGCGTGGGGCATGGTGTTGACGGCCAGGTACCTGCCGATGTCGTACTTGGGGCACGCCACTTCCGCGGGAGGGGCGCTTTCCATCAATTGGCTCGCTCCACCCGATGGGGGCCGTTCGTATCCATTCCAGGACGGTCCCCCCTCGACCGGCGCGGCTGGCAAGCGCGCCGCCGTGGCATCCTGGGGCACGCCTGGCGCCGGGCAGTCGGCGGGCGAGCCGGCAACATCCTCCGCGCACGGGGGCCCGAACCGCAGGCTCGAAAGCCGGGCGCCGGCGCTGGCCACGGCCTCCGCGACGCTCCCCGCGCCGGGGAACGGCCCGTGCAGCGGCAGGGCGATGTCCTTCAGGCCGGGCGCGCCCCCTCTCGCGTGGGGCTGGCGGTTGGCGATGAACTTGGCCGTCATCTCCAGGGAGGGCACTACTCTGCCTCCGACGTCGCAGCCTTGGGGCTCTACGGCGCCCCCGTCGGCAGATGGCCGCCCCTCTCCGTGGCTCTGCGCCCCCCGCTCGCCGTCCTGTCCAGGCCCCAGCCCCACCACCGCGGGGATTGCGCCGCCCGGAGTGCGATCCGACATCCGCGGGATCGAGCCGCCGGCGCCGTCTGCGCACAGCACCACGGGGGTCAAGGGCGCTCGGCGACGGTTCTCTCTAGGAAAAATGCGCGAGTCATCCTCAGCACGTGGAAGCGCAGGTGGGATCACCTCAGGCGCCTTCCGGGATGAGCCAAGGCGAACCCTGATCGGAAATCTGGCGGAACATCCTCGCGGAGGCATCCGCTCGAGACCTCCACCGGCGACATCCCCCCCAGCAATCCGACGCTCCGCGGACCAGGCATCCCCAACGCAAGCGGCGAGCCAGCGAGTGAACCTCCCTGGAGGCTAGCTCCTTTCCCCGGGCACGTACAACGCCCAACAATCCACCGCCACACAAACATCCCCCGCAACGACGATGCTCCCCTTCTTCCCCGTAATGGACCGGCAGCTGCCGTGGCATACATCCCACCTCCGCCGCTCCCGCCGCCCCGGCCCGCTCAAGGCCGACCGGCCGCGCGGCGCCCCGTCGCCGGATCCTCACCTTGCGGACCCTGCCCGCCACCGGCGGCCCCGCGCACCCCCGGCGCCGAGGCCCCCCCAACCATCTCGGCGCTCCCTCGGCAACCAGAAGGCCAGCCTGGATTATCTTCAGCGGCGGGAGCTGTCCAGAGCGTGCTCGCTTGGCCGCTCTCGGCCCTGCCAGCGCGCCGGACGGCTCACAACCCGCCCATGGGGCCGTTCCTGTCTGTCGCGCTCCACGTTCGGCGTGGGATGGGGGGGTGGGGTCCCCGGGCGCGCTGACTGGCCGCCCGCCGCGGCTGCTGCCGATATCCGGCCGCCCTGCCGCGCCGTGACCGCGCCACCAATTTGGCGGGTCCGCCGCAGCGGCTGCGCTTTGTCACCCTCTGATGGGCCTGGCGGCTGGGACTGGGACCGTGCCCACCTGCGCGGGTTGACCAGCGGGACCAGGCTGAGTTTCTGGCACCCTGGGGTGGGGATCAGCGCGCGATCCTGGAAATTTCCGTTGGCGGGCGTATCTGTACGCCGCTGACCCAGCAAGCGAACGTGGCATGCTCGCCAGGTATTTCGCACTCATGGGGGCATTCTTAACATTGACGAAGGCAGGCAGGGTCGAGGGGTGGCGATCCCTGAACGGGAATCGTACGCTCAAGTCCACGGCAACGGTTTACAGCCGAGGCAAAAGGACAACAGACGTTCTGTCCTTTATACCCAGTCCGTTCATCAACATCCTTAATGTAATTCCTAGTGCTTCGTCATCTTTTCATACATTCAGTTATTTATAACACTCAATCAGTTCTAGCCGTAACAACATCATTAAGCGCTCATCTGGGCTGCGGAATCGGCGCATCCGGGCAGCTCAAGCGGCACGGTTGGAGAATCGCAATCGGCGCGGTCGAAGATTCGAGGCTATGAAAGGGCACCGCACGAGCGGATGGCCTATCGCCACTCGCGCTAGCCGGAGCAACCAACAAGCCCGAGGCCGCGCACCGACAGCGCGAGCTGGGGCCCGGCGAGCTGGCGGCAGCACGCCGGCGCTCAGCAAGCTTAGTTTCGTGACCGGGCTAGGCGCCAGGATTTTTCGGTCATTACGTTTGGGGTTCCGGCGAGCGCGGGGCGCGGCGGATTGCGCAGAAGGGGTGTGCAGATCTCCTTGACCAGGGGTGGCGGTGCCATCGGCTGGCGCGGTCTCACGGCGGCGCTAGGCGGGTCCGGTTCGCTTGGTGCGCTCGTGGCGCCCATTCTCCGTTCTGCTCCTGGCGCTGTGAGACGATGGTTTGCCCTAGGCGTGACATAGGCGACCCTTCCCCCCGTTGGGCTGCGCGCTCTCTGCGGCCGACAATCTGCCCATTTCTGGCGAGTTTGGAGGGGCGGCGCACGATCGGTTGTTGCCGAATGCTTTTGCTCAGCCCCAGCGGCTCCGAATCTTCGCGTGCCGCTTGGTCGGGTTTCCGGATGCTTTCGGATGGCCGTGGCTGGTACCTGGCTCACCGCGGCTTACGCCCTACAGGACGGTCAGGATGCGCCAGACGCTCCCGTCAGCAAGGATACGGCCCCCACGGCCGAGGAGGGTTGGGTCGAGGTCGCCGATCATGGGGGCGATGGCGACCAACCCGCCCCTGAGACGGATGGGCACGCCCCAGAGCCGCCGGATCAACCCCCGCTAGAGCCGGGCAGGCCCAACGCCCCCGTTGCCGGCGACCCTACGCCGCTGCGTGGGTCAAGCCCCCTCCCGGTTTCGGGTATGGCCCAACGCCTATCCGATCCAGCCGCCTGGTGAGTGGTTCTTGCGCGTCGAGGCGAGGGCGCGGGTGATTCTGTCAGCGCTTCTGCTCACCTGTCGATGGATCATGCTCATGCGGATATCTCTCTCGGGACGGGGGAGTACGCCCGTGTCTGGCGGGCCCCCTGTCGCCTAGTTTGGCATGGTGCAGTTTGCACGGTGCAGACCGTCTTCACGCTTGCTAGCAGCGCATGTGGTGATGTGACTCGGGGTAGGTCGCCAGAGTATTGCTATTGTGGCGTCAGCCACGAACCAGCGGGTAGACGCGGTGACGACTATCCCCTGGTTCGGGGCTGAAGGCACAGTCTCACTCCTGCTATCGACTCCCGTGATGATTTCACCATGCACGCCAGGGACCGGGGAGCTAATAGGATATCTCGCAAGCAAGGGAAGCATCGCGCCCTTCCAATTATGGGGTCCGCGGTCCCTCATTCCGCCAAGCGTGCTCGGCGCAGGTCGGCCCCAGCGGCGGGTCTCATGACTGTAGAGGTGGCCACTCAAAGGTGCCATCCGGTCCGTTAAATCCGGTTCGTTAATTTTTATCAGCTGTCCGTTAAATTTCGTTAAAGAAAAAGGGAGAAAAATTCAGAAAAAACGAAAAAATCCAAAAAAATCGAAAAAAAACCCAAAAAATCACAACAACTGCGGCCAGTTGAAAATCTAGTATGCATAGGTTGAAATAAAATACAAACATACTCTCTAATAGCGAATTCCATAAACTATAAGTATGACTAAAACCCAAAAATCCCCCAAAAATCCAAAAATCCGCTAATTTTTGGTTAATTTTTGTCTTTTTTCGTTATTTTCCGTTAATTAACGGAAAATTAACGGAAATTAACCTCTGTCCGCTATTAACGGATCCGAGTGGCCACCTCTACAGGACTGTCGAGACCGGCGGCGAGGTTCTTGGGGGTCCGCTCAGCCCGCCCAGCGCGCAGCGGACCCGGTTGGCCGCCTTCGACTTGGGCTCCCCCAAGCAGAGCGAGCAGCGCCGTGATGTGCAACCCCCAGTGACTCAGCACCTGAGTCAATATGCCTCTCGGAATATGGGTGTCCCTCGATTTCCCAGCGAAATCACAGACATGTATAGCGATCTCGTCTCCGGAGAGCAGGGCTGGGTATCGGTGGGTCATATCCTGTCTAGCCTCCATGGCGCCCAAGAGATGACTGTCCCCAGTCGGCAGCTGTATTGCCTGACGATGCAGCTGAGTGAGTATGGAGGAACGCTCAACGTGGTCCAGTACCTCTCCTCGATGATCCACTCATTGAGGCCGGCCGCGACACCATTTTGGTGTACGCCAGAGGAGGCCTACAATCGGACTTGGTGGGAAGTGCGGGTTTGCGCTTCTCGTTTACACCGCTCGACGACGCCTATTAGCTGGTCAAGCTAGTATGCCAAGCTGGTGATCCTCCAGTGGGTTATCACCTTGGAGCACTATGTGGAGTGCCCCCCCGAGCAGGTGCGCTGAGTCTGTCGATTGGAACTTGTCAGCCTGTGAACGCCTCTCAGGCAATGCTCCTGCTGGCATTGGCTTGTGGTATAGCTTGGCTCGACCGATGGAGTGCACCACTCCTATGATTATTCGCAGCTGGCACACGCACCAGCTGGACCCACGGGTCGCCTTTAGTAGGCTGTTAGTTTCTTACCATCTCATCCTCATGAGTTTGGTCTATAGGTTCCCGGAGAATGGCCTACGGGGCCAGGGATCAAACCGCCCAGTGCGAGGACCCCCTGCATTCGCCCTTTGGAGAACAATCGACCCGGCTTCCATGTGCCACTCTGGTTCACTGGAGCGGACACGATCGCAGACGTTCGCTACTCACGCCCAGTGGGGGAGTTCGTCAACTCCGAACGGGCCAAGCACACCGCTGCCCATGTGGCTGTTCGCTTGGCAGGGAGCTGGCGCTATAGCCACCTGGCAGGCTCTAAGGGCTACGACGCCCGCAGAGCTATGGGGACGTCGAGCACGGGAAACTCCCGCTAGTGGGGAGGGAAGCGTGGCCGCAAGGATCGTCCGGCGATGTGGTCCTCAGAGGACATGCGCCTTAGCGCGCAGTTGGCGGACATCGATGAGGTCCCGGCGACCGACCGCGTGCCTGAGGCTCCAGCAGCCGGGGTGACTGGGGCAGCCCCAGCGGTGATTGAGGCCCCACCCCCTGTGGCTACCCCTCCATCTGGTTCTGATCCTTCGCCCCCACCCGACACAGCTTGGGTTGAGGAACCGGACAGCGAGTTCAAGACTTGCTTATCGCTGGGTGGGATCCAGACCATGGTGCCCCGCCGGCAGTATGTCTTGGGTCGCGGCATGCAGGTGTTCAAGTGTCCCAAGCGGACAGAGCATTGGCGGTTCGTCCAATACAATGAAGCAGTGCTTCTTTTCGCCTGGGAGGGTCTGGCAGCAGTGGCGAGCAATCTGATGGCGTCATACACAAAGACCCCAGGGGTCAATGTGCAGGCGGCTGGCAAGACCATCGCCGCGGTCTTCCGACAGGCTACTCCGGTTCTCTTCCCGGCGGAGGGAGTGCGGCAGGCCCCAGCAGCCGTGTTTAGCATCCTGCGCATGCTGCTTCCCGTGCTGGCTTTGGGCATTCATGTGGCCAGCCCCACGGCCCAGATGTTCAACGCGCTGGACTGTGCCCAGTGGACTTCCCACGTTGCCGCAGAGACGTTCGTGGTGGCACAGGATGGCTTCGTCGATGTGCAGCACATCCTCCAGGCCATGCGCCGGCAGTTCCACACTGCCATTCAGCACAACCAAGAACTGCACCAGCGGCAGTTGGCACTCCATCCGCCACAAGGGCTTGGAGGCACTTTCTACGGCGGCCATGGCGGCGACAGCCCCAGCGGCTCAGGAGGTCGCAGAGGCGGTCATCCGCGTCACGGCGGGAGAGGCCGTGGAGGTGGAACTTTGCAGCCGAGCAATTCAGCGCCTGGCTC